TTTCGTTTGGTACAACTTTGATTCTCCTCTTCTTTGGCACGACCTGCACTGGGCCGATTCATGCACTATCTAATATAGGATAGATGATGCTTGTTAAAGGTTCAATACCTCGGCCCAAACCACTTCCTTCATATTTGGATTTAACCTCCGCTAACTCTCTACACTGGGTCGAAAATTCTTCTCCATGAAAATCTTATGCATGTACAGCGAAGGGCTGATCCATTTAATATCTGCTATGGTCCATCCTATTGCTGCTTTATTCTCCCTGAGTACCCGAAATAGTTTTTCTTCCTCCACCTCGCTAATTGTGTTCAAGATAATCACCGGGAGAGTGCACGATTCTCCCAAATAAGCATATCTGAGATGCGGTGGCAATTGCTTGAGCTCCAGTTTAGGTGGTTGCTGAATGGATAGTATAACATTTTTGGCGCATGTTCCAAGTTCTTCAAATTGCTATTTTCGAAAATATGGTGTGTTGGTTTCCAAAAATCGTGCACATGTCTCAATCTCAAGGGACTCTGCTTTTGTTGATTGAGAATGTGCAATACACGCCTCGTATGTATCTGAAAGATGTTGAAGTAGAAATGTATCATGAACCACCTTGTCAATTACATTAATTTTGAAACAGTTGTCTACCTCGATAGGAAACTGCATGGCTTTGAAGATATTGAAGGAGTTCTGTTCTTCACCTAGCCTCAAAATCAATTGTCCCTTTTGAACATCAATCAGTGCTTTGCCCGTGGCTAGAAATGGTCTTCCTAGGATTATTGGAACATCTTTATCTTCTTCCATATCTAAGATGAGTAAATCAATAGGGAAGATAAATTTTTCTACCTTGATAGCACATCTTCTATGATTCTCCTTAGGCGTGTCAGAGATCGGTCAGCCAATTGCAATGTCACTGTGGTTGCTTTAGCTTTTCCTAATTCAAGTTTCCTGAAAATAGACAGTGACATTAAATTAATACTTGCACCAATATCACATAATACCTTATCAAAATAAATTTCACTAATGGTACAGGGGACAATAAAACTCCCTGGATCCTTCAATTTTGGTGGAAGCTTTTTCTGAATTCTGGCGCTAACTTCTTCTATTAACATGACTGTCTCATGCTCCTCCAGCTTGCATTTGTTTGATAGAATGTCCTTCAAAAATTTGGCATAGCTTGATATTTGGAATAGTGCATCGGCCAGTGGGATGTTTATAAGGAGCTTTTTGAACACTTCAAGAAATTTCTTGTATTGTTGCTCCATCTTGTGCTTTCTTAATCGTTGTGGGAATGGAATGGGTGGTTCATAGCTAATGGGATGTTTATATGGAGCTTTCTGAACACTTCAAGGAACTTTTTGTATTGCTGCTCCATTCGTGGCTTCCGCAACCGTTGTGGAAATGGAATGGGTGGTTCATAAGGGTTCACCGAGTTATCTGGTACATGTTTTGACACTGCTGGACTTTCTTTCACTGGTGTCTTCCTAGTGTCGTCAACCTGCTTCTCATTCTCTTCTTCAGAAGATTCCATTTGCTCTGTTTTTGTACCTGGCCTTTTTACACGTATCTCAGGTAGCTGAACTCTATTTCTTATAGTAATGGCTTGAACATACTCCCTAGGATTAACTTTTGTATTGCTTGGCAATGCACCCGACACTCTTCCTATCATAGATAAAGCTAACTGTCCTATATGTGTCTCCAGGTTCTTAATCGCTGCACCCTGATTTTGGAAGTTTGTTTCATTCTTTTTGATGAACTGATTTGTGGTTTCCATTAGCTTTGCAAACATATCTTCCAACTTTCTCCTCCAACTGGGGTTTCTTCTCTTGCTGAAACTGCCCTTGAGCTCGGTTTGTGATTTTGATTTTGATTTCCAGCCCAAAAGAAATTTGGATGATTTCTCCATACCGGATTATATGTGTCAGAATGAGGTTTGTTTGGATGATGTTGACCCTATTAGACATAGTCCACATGTTCTTTTCCTTGTGTAAGGATAGAACATTCAGTTGTGCCATGTTCTGCTCCACACTCTTCGCAATTTGACTTCTTTACTTGTGCTGAGTTCACCATTTGCGTTATGCTCTCCATTTTGTGAAATATGGAGCCAATCTTTGCAGATAAGGCTGAGTATGTATCTACCTCGTAGACTTTTCTTTGGACCTCCTCAATTTGAAGACCACATGGATGAAGAATTAACCATTCTCTCGAACAATTCCCAAGCTCCATCAATCATTCAGGTGGTTAGGGATCCATTTGATGACGAGTCCACCATGCTTCTAAAAGTGGGAAGCAGTCCTGTATAGAAAAACCTAATTTGTGATGGTTTATCGAACCCATGTTATGGACATTTTCTCAGCATGTTCTTAAATCTATTTCATGTGTTATCAAATGATTATGTTTCATTTTGGCGAAATATTGAGATCTCGTGCCTCAATCTTGCAACCTTAGCTGGTGAGAAGAACTTCGTGTATAATTTATGAGCCAAATCGTTCCAAGTAGTGATGCTTGCCACAGGGAGTGAGTTTAACCACTCAAGTGCCTTATCCCAAAGAGTGTGTGGAAATAACCTCGGTCTGATCGCATCTTCTGATATCCCTTGGTACCTGAAATGTTAAGACATATCCAAAAAGCGAGATACATGTGTATACGGATTCTCGTTGGCCATCCTGGAGAATTGATGCCCTTATTGGAATAGTTGGATGACGTTTGTCTTCAGCTGAGATTTTGGCTGTTCAAATGTGGGGTAGAAAACCTTTGAGCGACGAATGGTGACAAGAAATCCCCAAGAAGAGCATTCCCGTCGTATTGTGCCTTCGCATTGGCTGGACTGCAAGATTTACTATCGGTTCCAACTATTGATCAGCCATTTGTATGTTTCTTTGTGTTTCCTGCTATGCTGTTCTAGCTAGCCTTTACCTATGATGAAAAGTTCGTTCAATCTCCAAATCCGTTGGAAGTAGTTCACCTCCAACTGATCTTCGCACGCAAGTCCTGAAAACAAATAAAAAGTAGCACTTAGCTCAGCCTAAGTAGAAAAACTGAAAAAAATGGAATATGTAAAATGAAAGTAAAGATAAGTTCGAATTAGTGTCTAAATAACAAAAATTAAACTAAAACTCAATCCCCGACAACGGCGCCAAAAACTTATTGAAGATAATATGTTCGCTTTGTAAATGACCGCTAGTGCACGGTTCGTTAATAAGTAATAAAGTGGAAATTGTAAAATTTAGAGTATCGTCCCACGAGAATTGATTTGATTTGATTTCTACTATCAAGACTTTAACCGATAAAAGAGTTTGAAATTAATAGTTGTCAAATATGGGCTTAATATGTTGACTCATGGGTAATCCTTTATGGTCTCGCAAATGTATAATAAATCGATTTTATTATTATGTAGATTCATGGGTCATCTTGAGGTTTAGGTAATTGGGAGACTCAATATAACTATAATAATTTTTAATAACGTGTAATATCTCTATATTTGCAAATGTGTGATTTTTTTTTTCTTTTTTAAAGTTTTAGAGCACATCAAAGAAATTCTTTATTTTTGAAGAAAATCTCGAACATCATATAAAGAGTATCTTTAAGTTCATATTTAAAGAAATTTTTTTTTTGTCACACTCCAGCGAACTCTTCATTTTTATCTCCTCATTTTAACTTTCCCAATAACCACTTAATTTTACTTCATTTTTTAACTTGTATATTTTATAAATATATCAATGACTAAAAATATTCAAATATAACGCCAATATTACGAGAAGTCAAATATTTAAACTTGAAATTTTTAAATGGAATTATTTTCAAAGGTTAAATTTAGGAGTATATAGGAGCTTAATTTCAAAGTTTAACACATTATATATAAGAGTTTTACATTTAAAGAATGCATAGGAGATGCTCTTAGAGTTTTTCATTTAATTCTTTGTATTATTTTTCCTCTTAACATTTATTGTTTAAATTATATAATATACACTCAAATCACGTTTTACAACAACGTATATATTACTTTTAGAGATATAGCATGGAAAGTCTTACTCAAAGCTAAACGTACAACATGGTTTCAAAATAATTTATTGGCAAGTAATAATCATTAACTTCGCGAATTAAACCATTGGCTTCACATGTTATCTAGATCCATTGAATTCCTAATATTCAGTAAACTGAAGCCCACAAACACATTAGCAAGAAGTCAACTGTCTTAACACAGAATTATGCTTTTTGAAAAAAAAAACTGTGATTTTTTTGGAAAATGTGTCATCAAAAAAAAAAAATGATGTTTGGCTTATGTGTAGAATTGTATGAATGTGTCGTTGAAAATGAGTACGAAGAAAAAAGAGTTTTGAAAGAATGAGAGACAAATATGGCATATCTTCAATTTTTATTTATTATTTTTTTTTCAAGTTTGTTGAGGATTTATAGGCCAACCTAAACCTAAATGGGGGTTAGGCATTTCCCCAAACATATGATACAAGGTTTGAGAAAATTTGAATTCTAATTTTATTACACTGGATTTCCCTCCAAGCAAGTCTATAAATAGATTCAAACATTAATTATACTAAGCACTACACCATTACTTATTTGAGATCTGTTCCTTGGATATCTTTGTCCATGACTATGGCTTCCAAAATTTCTCAGCTCTTTTCATGCCTCTTTATCTTTACTTTAGCCATTCCTGTTCTTAGCCACAGAAGATTATAGGGCCTAATGATGGCCAAACATCAGCATTCGAGCTCCTTAAATATTTTCAAGGTTCCCGCAAAGGTAAAAAAACAGAAGGCCTTCTCCAGATAAAAAACTATCTTGAAAATTTTGGTTATCTTAGTTATCCTAATTTCAAGAACGAAACCTCCGATGATTTCGACGAAGCCCTAGAGTCTGCCAACAGAACCTATCAAATAAACTACGATATCAAGGCCACTGGGATTTTGGATGCTGAAATAGTATCAAAGATGATGACACCCCGGTGTGGGGTGCCTGATATCGTCAATGGAACTAGCAGGATGTGAACTGGAGGAATGGACCATAATCCTCTTGTATCCAACTCCATCCACACGGTCTCACATTACAGTTTCTTCCCGGGTAAGCCCAGATGGCCAGCTTCGAAAACACGCCTCACCTATGCATTTGAAGCAAATACACCTGCTGCTGCAATCAACCCCGTTGTACGAGCATTCAACACATGGGCTTCAGCAACGCATTTCACATTCTCACGAGTTCAAAATATAGCTGCTGCTGATTTAGTTATCGGTTTTCATAGGCGCAATCATGGCGATGGACTACCCTTCGATGGCCCTGGTGGGGTACTTGTTCATGCTTTCGCCCCGACCAATGGAAGGTTTCACTACGACGCAGATGATAGATTCTCCGTAGGGGCTGCAGCAGGAGCATCTGACCTAGAAACCGTCGCTCTTCACGAGATTGGCCATCTTCTTGGCTTGGCCACAGCTCAGTTCAGTAAGTGTTTTAAATTAAATAAGAATGAATTCCAATTTAAAATAATGTTGTTTCCCAACTAGTGTTTTCAACTGTAAAATAACATTTACTCAATACATATATTGGGATACATGGCTTGTTTTTCGCAAATTTTTATGCTGTCACTTATGATTAGCGTCAAGGTTTCCTCTATATTTCTTATTTTGAATAGACAAATATATTACAAAATCAAATTTACTAAGCCATAATCACGAAAATACCACACTAGATTAGGGTCCGAGTTCTATTAATTAGCTTCTTCTATTCTTAGGGCATGTTTGGTACAGATTCTCATTTTCTACAGTAATTCAATTCTTTAAGGGTCTGTTTGGTACATATTTTCATTTTCTACAGTAAATCAATTTTCATTTTCAACCACACATTTTTCAATAAAATAATATTTTCCATCACATCAATAATTTTTTCTTCTTTTTCAACCACACATTTCCCATCATAACACTATTCAAAAATCAATACTTCCCCCAAAAATCTCTACCAAACACACTCTTAATTATATTTTATTTCCAAGAAATTTAGATAAGGAAAATCAATTCATTTGATAAAAAGAAATCTCTTCCTCCTAGGTTGTACTATTTAAACCCAAGTTATATATTTGTTGATCGTGTTTGCATGGTGATTATTGAATAAAAATAATAGAACTTTGATGTTTTCAAAATTCTCTGGATTTAATTTCAATATCGTGTGGAATAAAAACACTTTGCTCATCAAAATCAATGATGAGTATGCTATTTGTACCCTTTGGGGTACACTTTGATTTACCCGGGTAAACTGATGTAGCAAGATTGATTCAGTATTCAATTACTATTCAACAAAATCTTATTTTCTAATCTTGTGGGTAATCTCTAAATTAATGTATTTTTAGGATAGTTCATCAATTAAGAGATTGTTTTAGCACCAAACTAGAAGTGTAATGCAAGAATCACGATCAAAATCAGATTCCTGACCTTCCAAAGATTTTTTCATCATTCCGAATTCGTTTCAATCAAACTCCTAATCTTTCGAGGGTGTTTGGTGTAGATTAAAATCAAATTTTAAGTGGATTGTGATATAAGATTTTGAAATGTGTGGTTAAAAAGATGTGAGACTCATGAAAGATGTGGTTGATATTGATTATTTGACTTTGACTTATATTAAAATCTGATTTTAATCAGGCCCAAACGGGCCCTTAATGAGATTTTATCTCTTTTAAAACTGGACTTCCGACAAAAATTGTTTACGTCCCCTTTCTCGACAAGCAATCTGAACCAAATCCAAATAGGAATTTGGCCATGTTCTAATATTTAGCGTCAAACTAGAGGAAAATGCACCTACATCTTAAGATCCGTGAGTACAATGGTAAAAGCTATTTCACTTACAAAGATGCACAGCTACTCGACATGTTTTCTTGTCGACACAACTTGGAAAGACAAAACAACTTCATGGACACATAGCTGTGTTGATGCAGCACATCAATTTGCTACAATGGTGGTGTGGTGGCACAAAAATCATGGAAACGATGATGGAAGAGGAGTTCAACTTCAACAATAGCCTTTTCGTTTATTTGAATTCTGGAAAGCTAATAATTTGATTCTATTTGTCTGTCGTACATAGAATATGATTAGATTTAGTTTCCTACTTGTGATGGGATTATTTAGAATCCCACATTACAAAGAAACTGAAAGCCCTCATTTTATCTTCCTATACGAAGGACTCTCCTCTTACCCTTGTATTTATCCTAATTTGGGAGATAATTATAGACAATCCTATGTTGTCTCACCAGTATATTGTAAATACCGGTTTTCTTAGCCATTGTTTGATAACCATCAAATGGGAAAATACCATGTTTTTAGACAATCCTAATTTGGCTTGTTTTTCTCAAATTCTTATGCTGTCACTTATGATTAGCGTCAAGGTTTCCTCTATATTTCTTATTTTGAATAGACAAATATATTACAAAATCAAATTTACTAAGCCATAATCACGAAAATACCCCACTTGATTAGGGTGCGAGTTTTATTAATTAGCTTCTTGTTTTCTTAATTATATTTTATTTCCAAGAAATTTAGATAAGGAAAATTGAGTTTTTGTTGCAATAGTAATTTAGCAACAACAATATGTTCGTTGCGGGTATTGTCGCTCTATATGAGTCACAGAATGTGTTTTGCGACGACTTTCGTACATTCGTCCCAGTATCAAAATCGCGATACTATTTGTTTGACGCAGAAAATACGAAATGGCAACACAGAA